CGCGTGATGTAATCTGCTAAACTACTTTCGATTCGAACCATTGGATTGTAGTTTTAGGGTGTTGTATTCCGGTACGAATTCTGTTAGTGTGCCCTGTTGATGATGAGATGCTGCAAATGAACACTCTTTTGATCAGAAGGATGCATTTCATGAAATGGAATAAATATTTTGAGGGTAAAAAATAAAAAAATAAAAAAATAAAAAATACATGTTCTCCTTACAAATTTGTATGCAATATCTTGAGGTATATATATTTGTAATTTCAGACAACGATCGACTTTGAAAAGGATCGAGATGAACTTTGTAAAATTATTAATAATTTAAGAAAAATTGTCTAAATTAAATTAATTGAAAAAAAAATAATTCGGTAACATCTAATGAATTCGGGCATGTCGACCTAGGAACATTCGATCATATTGGTGATTGCACTACAATCATCGAGTTTTACTCCAATTAGATCAACCCACATTTATATAAGTGTGTGTTGATCCAACAGTAGATAATTGCTTTATAACGTAAAAATATTGATACTTGCAATATGTAGGTGAAATTTACGGTGGCACTATCAATATTAGGGCTGTAAACGAGTCGAGTTGAATTGAGCTCAAGGTGCTAGAGCTCGAACTCGAGCCTTTAACGAGCTGAGCCAGGCTCGTTTCGTTAAGTAAACTAATAATAAACCTTTTTTTTCACATCACTTGGCCCACATGAATCATGTCAAATAACGAGCAATCCTGCCAACTAGATGTAATCAACAAAGCTAGGCAACCTGATTTAAAAAGTGCCAATGCATCCACTGCAGAGTTATGTTTGCAGAGGTATCTTTCATTCACTGCGGTGCAATCAATTATGAGTCACCATACATCATACAAACAGCAAATAATCACACGAGTCACACAACAAGACACTGTTAAAAACAAAAAGATGCCACCAAACCATACATCCATCCCATGAGCTCTGTTATATTTAAACGTATGGATCAGCCAAAAGGGGAGCTTTCCAGGTAAGGGAAAACGTCCACTCTTAGTCTATCAGCACGGATACCTAGATTTTTCAGATTGTCCTCCACATAATCGTAAAGAAGTAAATCACCCTCGCAGTCCTGAAGAAGCAATTTGTCATTTTTGTAGAGGCCCACTATGTTTTCAGCAGGAGCAGCAGACGGGACATCAAATGTGAACTCGCGAGACCACTCGTCAATGTTATTATTCCACACCCAAATCTCGAAACAAGGATTTCTTTCAGCAACTGCCTCGAAATTGTAAACAACAGCAGCGAGCGACCCACAATACACGCCAAGACGAAGAAAGAACTTGTCCTTATGATACTTGTTCGACAAAGGGATGAGAGTGGAAGGGGGAGCGGGGATAATGGCAGGGGAACTTCTCATTAGCAAAGTCGAACGAGATAATGCAGAAACTACAATCTTTGGCGGTATCCAAAGCTAGCCAATAAAAAAACCCATTGATGTGAAGAGAATTGTATTGAAAGGGTTCAATGCAGGGATCATGAGGATAAGGAATTTCCTTCCATGAACCAGTTGCAAGGGAGAACAGCTCCAAATGGGTTTCTTTGCCGATACCAATTAACTCAAACAACCGAGATCTGACCACTTTATAGTCTTGAGATAAAGGATCAAACCCAATGCCGTGACTCCTCATTGTCGCACAAATTGCACGAGGCACTCTAGGCTGCACCTCAAAAATAGGAAGGGATTTGATCTCGTTAGTCTTAGGGTTCCACAGAAGGTCCCGAGGATCATCTGGAATTTTGGCACATGACAACAATATCCATATGTTGCAACTCGAAAGTACACGATAACGGACGAGTGGAGACGTGTGGAAGTATCTTTCATCTCTGAGGAAAGAATAGTTAGGCAGATTGTCTTTTACTACCTGGAACGAGTTGTTTTCCGTCGAAATAACCGAGTAATCGCGGGTTATTTTCGTAACATGCTGTACCAAAAGCATGAGTTTGTAGCTATCGTTATTCAAGTTGCAGGCCGGCGCCAGCGCACACAAGCCGTAGTACCGCCAAAGGCAGGAGCGGAAGACAGAATCCTAGACAACGAGAGGGCCATGAATTTGGATCTGATGGTGTTGCCGAGTATGCCTAGGAATCCCATCTCTCTCTCTATCTCAGCGAGACAAACTCGTTTTTAAGTGACATAAAAAATTAGGGCTGCTCATCCGAATCGAAATTTATGATTCGGTTCGGTTTTTAGGCGAAAATCCAGCGGTTGGTATGGTTCGGTTATTGATCAGTTGCGAAATCAACCACAAATTTGCGAGTAGAATATCTAAGACCCTCTATTTTTTCTTTTTGTGAATAGGTCATTTGTTTGAATCCGTTTCCGAATAGTCTCCCTTTGAGAGACGACCCATGGTTTGTATTCACGACTGTACTCTGTAAAACACTACAAATCTATAATATTTTGTTGTGGTGCGAGGACTGAGCTAAAGAGACAGATTGGTAGAGGACACTTTAAGAATATGTTGTGTGCTGGGAGGACTTAGCTAGAGAGACAGATTGTAAGGCCTTCTACAGTCCTTATGCAAGGACTTAGCTAAAGAGACGGATGGTAAGGTCGTTTCGCACTTATTTCTACTTTAGTGCAGAGTTTACTCTAGGGTAGAGTGAAACAAAAATAAAGTTTGTTTCCAACCGCTTCATTTTACTCTACAAAATATTTTTTTTATTTTCATCATCTTAAATTATTTTACTATCAGAAATGTAATCTAATTAGATATATTATTTTACAAATATTTAATTATTTAAATTATTATCATTATATAATCAATAAAATATAAATATGACACCAATCTTTATATAATATAATAAAGACTATATTATTTACTAAAACATAAAACAAGTATTTACTAAAATATTACGGATTTACGAAAATATTAACTAAGATTTAAGAGAAATTTCAAGTATAATGTAAGTCACTGAAAATAAATTTTTTATGTTAATCATTGTTCGTCCAATAATCTCCACATATTTTCTATTAAATATAAATTTGTTGGAATGAGTTTTCCATTGGAATTTACGTTGGATTTTAACGATTTCAACGATAGATTTTCCAACAAGGATAAAAGTAAAAGTTCCAACGGCAAAAATCGTTGGAAAACTAGCAGTTGGAATCATCAAATTCCATCTAAAATTCCAAAGGAAAATTCATTCCAACAGAACTTTTTCGTTGGAATTTCCGTTAGAATCATTCCAACGGAAGCTATACCATTAGAATATGTATTGAAATTTCTATTGGAATTTATTACCGTAGGATTTCTCGTTAGAATAAAACAATTACTTTTGTAGTGGTATAAGAAGATAAACAAATGAAATTGATAAACTTAAAATATCACCCAAGATAGTAAACACAGCACAGGACGCAATAAAAGATACTCATACCAGTTACATAACAAGACACTAGTTAAAAACACGCCCTATAATCTCTGATTTATTCCAACATATGGATCAGCCAAAAACAGAGCTCTACAGGTAAGGGAAAACCTCCACTTCTCGTATATTAGCACGAGTCCTGAAGAAGCAATTTGTCGATTTTGCAGAGGCCCACTATTTTATCAACAGGAGCAGCAATAGCATCAGAGGGGACATCAAAAGCAGACTCCCAATACCACTTGCCACTCTTACTATTCCATACCCAAATCTCGAAACAATGCTTCCTTTCAGCAACTGCCTCGGAATTGTAGACAACAGCAGCAAGCATCCAGTAACACTCGCAAAGTTGAAAATCAAACCTGCCCTTCACATTATTGCTACACTGAGGGATAAGTGCAGAAGGGGGGGCGGGAATAAGGGCAGAAGGGAACTTCTCATTAGCAAAGTCGAAGGAGATAATGCAGTAACTACCATCTTTGGTGGTAGCTAGCCAATAATAAAATCCATCGATGTGAATAGAATCGTATTGAAGGGGTTCTATGTAGGGATCATGAGGATATGGAATTTCCTTCCATGAACCAGTTGCAAGGGAGAAGAGCTCCACGTGTACTTCATCATCGATACCAATTAACTCGTACACCACAGATTTAATCACTTTATAGTCTTGAGATACGGGATCAAATCCAATGCCGTAACCTCTAGTTCTCGCATAAATACAGCGAGGCACGCTCGGCTGCACCTCAAAATAAGGAAGGGTTTTGATCTCGTTAGTCTTAGGGCTCCACAGATAGTCACGAAGATCAGTACAATAAAAGCCACGTGTCAACAATATCCACATGTTGCAACTCGATAAAACAACATAATCGCGGACTGGATCGAGCCTGTAGTAGTTTTCAGTTCTGAGGAAAGAGGAGTTAGGAAGATTGTGTTTTACTACCTTGAACGAGCCCGTCGAGATAAATGAGTAATCCCGGGTTCTTTTGATAACATGCTGCACCATAAGCATGGGTTCGTTGCTATCAATGTTATCCAAGTTGCAGGCCGGCGCCAGAACACAAGCCGTAGTACCGCCAAAGGCAGGAGCGGAAGAGAGAATCCTAGACGACGAGAGGGCCATGAATTTGGATCTGGTGGTGTTGCCGAGTATACCCCGGAATCCCATCTCTCTCTCTCTCTCTCTCTCTCTCTCTGCTTTCACTCAGCAAGACGACGAAAAACTAAAAAACTAAAAAAGCATCGAAAACCTAGTTCCCCTTGTCTACTTCGGAACACTCGTTTAAGTGACATAAAAACTAGGGCTGCTCATCCAAATCGAAATTTATGATTCGGTTCAGTTTTTAACCAAAAAATCAACATACGGTGCAGTTATTGATTAATTGTAATAAGTAGTTAATCTTTTCAATAACTTCTGAATTTCTAACCGAATCAAAATTCTGATTTTTATCCGAACCAAATAATTTGATTTTTTATTACCGTGTTTATTTTTTTCAATAAATTCAAAATTCTCATATAAAGAAAATCTCGGACCCAAACCA